GGAGGAGGAGGAGGCACCTCGCAACGGCGGCGCAGATGTGACGCCTGGTGCGGGTCTGCGCCGCCGTTCATGTTACTCCCGATTTCGTAATAAAGTAGGGGGGTCACATTTGGGGGGGGGTCTGATTTGAGCTGTCTTGGGGGGTTGGGGGGGGTCTGGGCAAAGGGCCGCCCTTTCATGGATGGTTTGGGGGGGTCTAAAACTTCTCGTCTGGGAGGGTTGTGACCCCCCCTTCTATTACGACATCTGGAGTACGAGGTTCGACTGCATGTGAATTCGTGCAGGCACCTTGGGCACCTCCCTTCGGGTTGTGTCGCCCAGATGTTTTGTCCAGGCGCCCAAAAAAAACGCTTAAGCTAAGAAGCAGCCTCCTTCTAAGATCGGAGGTTGATAGACCTCCTACCCTGACACGTCGATTAGCGAATTGGCCGTTTTTTGTTCGCGAAGGGGCGTCGCGGCCGTCATTTTTGAGGGCCCAGGTCCGTCGGTTTAGGTCCTAGGCCGTTTGCGCGAAGTGGAAGTTTATTGAAGGGAGGTTTGTCCACCGCCGATAAGAAGCCCCCCCGCCTCCCCCCACCCCCCTGTGCGCGCCGCCAATTTATTTCAGTGGGACGTTTTTACACACAGCACTCCGCGAGGTCTATGGAGGCACGTCTCCACGTCTCCAGACCGGCCAGTATGTTTGGGCTTGGGCGGGGACATGTTTCCCAGACCCCTGTCGTATTGATCGGTTCAATCCCAGCGCGTGTTCTCGCGAGCTTCGGCCTGTAAGGACTTTGTTCGGGCCCTGGGACAACCAGGCATTGATCCACGAGGAAGGAGGACTCCGCCCCCGACCGTTTCAACCAACAATAACTACTGCGTGCTCGACATGTTCAGCCTTTTGGAACCCTTTTTTTCGGGGGCCCGGACAACCCAACAATTGCCCGCGACGGAAATCATCCCACGGGAGGGATCGAGAGCTCTGGGGCCTCGGTTCGAGAGAGGGGAATGCAGAACGCCGGATGGCTTGGGCCTTCCCCCCTCTGCTCCCTCGTCGTTTCTCGTTCCCTGCCCAGGCCTCCCACACGTGGTTCTTCGCAACGTGGGGCCCCGAGCTCCGGCTTCGCCGCAGGTCCGGAGGCCAGGAAGTGGGCCCCGGGCGCCGAGGGTGGTATAACAGGTTTGTCGGGAGGGTTGGCGAGGGGGCAAGGGAGGGGGATCGAGGAGAGGGGAGGGAGGGAGGGAGGGGGCGAGGGAGGGAGGGGTGGAGGGGGGCCTGGGGCAGGGCTCCTCCTCGCTCATCGTTCGCTGCTCTTTGCTCACTCATCCTCCTCCTTCTCGTTCATTCCTCCTGGACTCCTCCTCTTCCTCTTCCTCCTCCTCCTCCTCCTCCTCCTCTTTCTCCTTCTCCTCCTCCGCCTTCCAGAGTGTGCATTACCTACCCCGTTTTCGCTTCCAGGCAACGCCAACCAAGTCATACCACGCGCCACCTCGTCAAGCAGCCTGGCCAGTGGCGGGCCACCCCACGCGCATCTTGGTATTGTTTGGCTCCCGTTTGGGAGCAAGGTTGGTCAAAAGCGAGGCAGGTCCGCTTGCTACGTATCCTTGTGCTCATCCTCCTTTTCCCTCCATCCTCCTCCCCTCCTCCCCGCCCTCCTGATATTCGCTTCCCGTTTACTCCTCATCCTCCTCCTCGTTCTTGTTCATTCGGGATCCCGCGTTCGAACAGGTGCCCTCCAGCCGCCGATAGCTCGCGGTAGTCGCCGATAGGAAGGGCATGCGGGGGCCATCTGTTTGCGGCAGCTCGGTACACCAGCGGATCGAACTCATGCCCCCCCTCAGGGTCCCCCCCCCGATGGTGGATCCCGATGCATCCCTCTTCCTCCTCCCTCCTCCTCATCCTTATCCTAAGCCTCACTTTCTCTCCGTCCTTCCCCTCCTCTTCCTCCTCGACCCTCATCCTCATCCTCATCATCCGTCCTCATCCCCATCCTAAGCCTCATTTTCTCTCCGTCCTTTCCCTCCTCTTCCTCGACGCCCTTCATCCTCATCCCCATCCGCGTCCGTATCCGCATCCTCGCTTCCTTTGTGCTCTCCCCGTCCCCTCCTCTCTCCTCCTCTTCCCTCCTCGGCGCCAGGCCCGGAGGCGGGCCTGCCAAGCCGAATACTGGAGCCAAAACGGCTACGGACGGTTGTTCCTGTGCTTTTTTGCAACGCCTCTTCCCTTTCCTCCCCTCCTCCTCATCCGCCTCCTCCTCCTCCGCCCTCCTCCTCCTCCTCCTCCTCCTCCTCCTCCTCCTCCTCCTTATCATCCACCTCCTCCTCGCCCCTTTTCTCACGCTCCCTCCTGCGGCGCGCCGAGGGGGGGGGGGGGGGGGGGGGGGGGCGGAGGAGGCGGTGCCCGCACGCCTCCCGCCCGCCGCGGCGCGGCACAGCTCTCGCGCGCCGCGGCGGCCTGCCGCCCGCCGCCCCCCCGCGAGGCTGTCGAGGACACGCTGCTCTCGGGGCTGTCGGAGGCGCGCACGTCATGGCGGGGCGAGGAGGTGGAGGAGGAGGAGGAGGAGGAGGAGGAGGAGGAGGAGGACGACGAACGCGGGGGACGAATGGGGGCGAGAAGGGGAGGAGGAGGAGGGGGAGATACGCGGAGGAGGAGGAGAAAGAGGAGTAGGAGGAGGAGGAGAGGGAGGAGGAGAAGGAAGAGGAGGGGAGGAGGACCGCGGAGGAGGAGGAACGCGGAGGAGGAGGAGGAGGAGGAGGAGGAACGCGGAGGAAGGCAGGGGAGGAGGAGGAGAGGAACGCGAAAAGGAGGAGGTGGAGGAACGCAAAGGAGGAGGACGAAGAGGAGGAGGAGGAGGAGGAGGAGGAGGAGGAGGAGGAGGAGGAGGAACTTGGAGGAGGAACGAGGAGGAGGAGGAGGAGGAGGAGGAGGAGGAGGAGGAGGAGGAGGAGGAGAAGGAGCAGGAGGAGGAACGAGGAGGAGGAGGAGGAGGAGGAGGAGGAGGAGGAGGAGGAGGGGGACAGGGGACAGGCCGAGGCGCAACATCCGATTCGAATGAGGGCTGGCGGGCAAGGAAAAAGGGGGGCGCGGGATTCCCGCCGTCACAGTCCCGCAGCCCACCGCACAGGCCGAGGGCCTTTAGGACACGGGCCGTGGTGGCAAGCGGCTCACAGGCACCAGCCGCCGCCTACCACCATGGCCCGCCACACCTAGCGAACCTCGCGACCCGCGAGAGCAGCATCAATGCGCCAGGACTGCACTGAAGCCCTCTCCGCAGGGCCTCGGCAGTCCGCCACGAGGCCCCTCCAAATTGGGGCCTCAATGGATACTCGAGCACCGCAGCGGCGGCACAGCAGAAACTTGTCCGTGGCCTGCACACAATGGCCCCGATACTCGAAAGTCTCGAGCGCCTGCACATGCAGGCCATCATACGTTAACCCAAGTTCACGACACGCTGAAAGGACCGCGTCACTGCGCGCCTTCGGAAGGAGGCCATTGTGACGCTCGGCCCTGACCGCCGACAGATATAAGTGGAGCGGCGTCGGCTCGCACTTACTGCCAGGCTGCTCCAGCTTAGCGCGAGAGAGCGCAGTCTTGCCAGAGCAGTGGCACCACGTACCCCGCACACCCCCCCCCCCGCAACCTCCAAGTCGTGAGCGAGCAGAGAGAGCTGAGGCACGGCCATAAGGTTACGGCCTGGCCTCGAGGACATGGAAGGGGGTTCGGCCTGAGACGCAACAAACTGTGCGACCTGGCCCAGAACACGGCACGTCTTTTTCACATCTTTCAGCTGAGCTTTCAGAGAGTCGGTGGCGATGCTGGCTACAGCGTGCCGCTTCGCTCCCAACTTAGCAAAAAAATCAGCCCACATATTGCCCAGATAATCGAAAACCGCCGTGTCCACGGATCGATCCAGGCTCGGAGAGCGCCCGCCAAAGAGGAGGGAGTCGAGATCTCCGTGGGCAGGAGTCCAGCGAGCCCGTGGCCTATCATCAGACGGGGCTCCTGCTGGGCACACCTGAAACATCTCGCGCCAGATGCACGCATGCTTATGGCTGCCTTCGGCTAGATCGGCTGACCAAGCAGTGGCTTCATGCACCGCCGAGAGGTGACCACTTACAATTTCCACACTTCTCGGGCCCAGGCGAACCGCCTGCAACATCGCGTACCTCTCGGCCCTGGGCACAGTTTGGATGGCCCTTGGGAGGGGCCCAAAACAAGCCCGAATGGGCCAGCCCCCAGGACTAAGCTCGACAACAGCCCACCCGCAGCGACACGCTTCGGATAGACCGCTCGAAAGGCCAGAGCCACCCGTAAAAAGGTGAAAGCCCCACGGCATGCTCGTGGCACCCCAAACCTGGGGAGGATATCTGGCTGGGACAGGCTCAATGCTAAGGGGAAAGAGAGGGGCACCGTACGCCAACACAAGAGTGTCGAAGTCGGGGGGGATTCCTTTAGCCTTGTCCCGCAGCCATTTTACATGCTCGAGCACATCGTCTGGGAACATGGATGCCTCTTCTGGGTCCTGACCAGGCTCCCAAACTTTTTTGCATTCGTACCACTGATGGCCGAAAGAGCCAATCGCATCACACCCGAATTCGCATTTAGGACTGGCTGCGTAGCCATGTTTGTGCTTCTTGGCTGGCGGCCAAAGCTTACCACTGATCAGGCCTCTCAAGGCCGCCTGCCTAGAGGGGTCCTTCACAGCAAGAATCCCTAATCGGAGAGCTCGCCCCCAGACAGGTTCATCGCCGCCAGCCTCGGGGATAGCCTCCAATATCTGTCGCACTTGGGCACGGCTAGTGCCTTCGCGCAACCTCTGCTTGACATCCCAGGGGCAAGTGGTGAACAGCGAGATAATTTCACACTGGTCAGTCCGGAGCTGATGGTGAGAAATCAGATCCCAGCCAACTCTCCTCAAAGATAAAATGACCGCCCCGGCAGGTACCTGCGCGCGATTCCAATTGGGGCGATATCTTAAACGGGCCTGAGCAGTCGAACAAGCCACTCTCAAATCAGAATCGGAAGCTCTACGATCCCAGACCCAGCGACAATGCCTGAACACTAGCGGGATCGTGGCGTCAACGATGGGGTCAAAGCTGGGATCCTTATGCGCGAACAAAAACCCCGTGACGTGAGACGCTCCACCCGCTCCCATAAGGCTCCCAGCTAAGGCCCTGAGGGTTCTGAGCGTATTATTGTTAACACTTGAAACTGAGGCCCCGTGGCCTCCACTTGGCATGAGGCCTGTGCGCCACAAGCCAGCAACCTTGGTCCCAGCAGATTTCTTAAGCACCTGGATGCGGTGCTTCCTCCTGACCAGCGCAACTCGCCTCTTGGCTTCCACCTTTCGGAGAGCACGCCGCCCAAACACATCGTGACCAAGTTTTCGCATATGCTCATAACCTCGCATGCCCATCAGCTTGGCCGACACTGCCACTTGCTTGGAGGCGGCCAGGCTGGTGGCAAAAAACCCTGACTTGTTGGGTTGCAGAAGAAGGCCAATCGGACGCACCAGAGAGCATAACTCCCGAGCCGCAGCAAGGACCACCGTTCCTTTCTTAGGGTCGGGTCCAGCCCAGCGCAACGAAACATCATCCATTAAAGTTCTAGCCTGGACTGGAAATCTTTCAATTGCAAACTTTACTGGCTGCAGAAGCACAGCCAACATAATGGATGCCGCTGTCGAGCATCCAGCCAAAATCCCCTGGAACGACACAAATGGCTCCGAAAGCGAGCCGAACGCATCGATTCTCCGAGGGGCCAGGTAGGTCTGAATGACCATCCACCCGAGACGGAGCGGGACACCAACCTGCCGAAAAATCTGAAACAGGACCGAGAGCTTTATCATAGCATTTCACCATGGCGAGCAATAGGGTGATTGAGTGCCATCCTCTGGCGCGGGCAACTTCAGCAGAAAGGTTTAAATCGAACGCTGAGTCCGATGAGCTTCTCCCCTTCCCAGACCCCCAAAACTCCCGAGTACGACCCCCCGCCTCCCAATCATCAGACACGGAACGTCTAATGCGTCCCCACACTCGTAAGATAGTGTCTAGGATAGCAATTGATATGTGGCCGCCGTCTGGTTTTGGCAACCTGACAAGCCTGCTTACTAATCGCTTGCTTGGCCAAACAAGAGCCTTCCCGCACTGCATCAGAAGCGACGCTAGAACAGCTAGCATCGCAGCCGACAGGTACTGAAGCGAACGAGGGTGGATCTTGCAACAGCCCACCGCCGTCTTCGGGGGAAATCTCGAAATCGCTCTCCTCAAATCGTCGACCCCGATCGGCGGCAGACTCGCCCAATCCTTCGAATCGCTCGGCAACTGCAAGTCTTCGCAAGAATGAGTGGTCCAAATGTGGGACCATTCACGGCGCGTGTCGTCGACAAGCCCGAAAGGTTGGATCCGATGCTCTTCGGTGAGCACCTCTTGGATTCCACGAGCCCTGGTAAATCGGTGGGCAGCCTTGGCCCCATCCAAAAAGGCATCCCTGACCCAGGATTTCCAGGCTTCCTCTTTGCTGGCCAGAAAAAAAAACGGCCTCCTTTTCTTGGGCCAGGGCCAGAACTCGTTCAAGCAAATCGGGCGTGGACGGATCACCTATCACATCCACTCCAGACCTGGAAAAACCTGCCGTCAGCTCGTCGAGGTGCGTGTACACCCAGTCGTGCCTCTGGATCCTGCCAAGGAGCGCCGCAGTGTCTAGCAACACCTTGGCGACCCCCTGGATCCTCCTCGGCCGTTCGTCGATGTCCGAATCCAGATTGGGAATGTACGGCTCAAGCACAATATGCACACTTCGCAAGTGCCTGGCCCACCTGGCCGCGGCACTCCACGCTGCATACTCACAAGAGGGACGAGGCTGCCGATGCTGAGGGACCGCGCGGAGCTTTTTCCATCTAACCTGATGCTCGCCAGCCCTGCCTTCAAAGCCGTGACGGAGAGGCCCAACAACGTCATGTCGGTCGAGCAGCTCAGCCTCTATGCCCTGGATGGTGAGGCCCCAAAAGTGAGCCATCTGTTCGGCATTCTCAGCGCGCTGAACGTCTTGATGCAACTTCTGCCAGTCACGAGGATACCGACCACAACCAGGCCGAGCCAAGACAGGAAGAGCTTTAGGTTGGTCCGCAACACGGCACCACAGCACAGCGTCCTTGGCGTGTACTTGCACGAGCACGGGCCTGTGAGGCCAGAGCGTAGCCGTATCCACAACCTCAATCATCCCAGACCGAATGGCAAAGCTTTCGGACATGATGAAGTAGTCAATTGTGGTACCTGGCGTGCTCTTGATGCATGTGGGCGCAGACGGCGCCACCAGCACTCCACCTATTGAAGTCGCCCACGGCCGCAACAGAGCACGATCCATGGTATAACCAGCTGCAACTATCCACTCATATCCAAGCGCTTTCACGCGAAGCAAGTACTGAGCTAACTTTGTGAGCAGCGACATGTTCTTCTGCCCCATTTCCTCGTTGATGTGAAGATGCGCTGAAACCGCCACGAAGCCACTCTTGAACC